TGAGAAAGCTGTGTGGAGTTTTTATTAGACGAGATTACTATGTCAGGTTTTTTTTGGGAGGAGGGATTTTGTGTTGAGAATAAACTATATGTGTCAGTTGAAGAATTAATTAATTTTCTGTGTCACAGAACTGAATCTTTTAAATGTATTTTGAATATATTCATTGGGAGGCAGCACAGATGTCTCGAGTTCCTGGTGTCCCAAACTAAAACCATCTTTTCTTCCTAGCTCCCAGTTTGAAAGCTGTCTTGGCAATGACCTCACTGCCCAGAGAACAGTTCCCCTGGGTTCTTCATACTTGCTTTTACCCTACATGAGGACATCCAAGTTCTTTATGTCACTTTAATTCTCTTTACCCATTAACTTGCTAGTCCAGTCTTTGAATACCTAATACTGAGAGTCACTCTGTTCATCGAGAGAAATGCGAGAACAAAAGCTCCTGGTGAAGTCACGCTTCTGTTCATTGCCTTGCCCTACTGGGAGCAGAATTCACCTTTTATTAAATGATTGATAGTAAGGCAGGATGTGCTACTGTAGTCCAGTTAGACAGACTTGGGTTGAATCCAAGTTTTATAATTTATTCGTTATAAGAATTCAAACAAGCCACTTAATAGCTGTAAGCCTCCTTTTCTTTATCTTAAACAAGGCAAAACAACTTGTCAGATTTGTGTTTTGTGTTAGAAATAGTACTCTCAGCCCTGCGAGACAGTAATCCTTTGATAAATGATAATGCTTCTTCTACACTTGCTTCGAGAAGAAGGAAAAGAGACTTAACTGAAGTTTATATTGTTGCCCAGCTCCCAAGTTCTCTGTGATTCACCCACTAACCTCTTCTTCAAAGAAATTCTAGAATCCACAGGACTTTTCACTGTCTTCATTCCCAGAATGTCACAGGGCTAGAATCATACACTGTTTAGACCTTTTTTCACACTCAACTATTCAACTTTTACATATAGTCTTTATGAATATCAGCCTAGCTAAGAGCTGTGGTTTATTAATGTCAGTGTTCCTCTTGCAAAGAAAGGTACCTCTCTCATCCTTCCTAAACCTTGCTATGGTGCATTGCCCTGGAGGTGTAGAAAATATAATCACTGAATAATTCCAACTCTTATATTAAATTCTTATTGCGGGGATGTATGATGGGGAGAGCAATTAAAGACATAATTAGGAAAGATGTATTGCGCAAAACTTCTATGAGAAAATGAGGTGGAAATAAAGGTGAAGAAAATAACATCAAAGAAGCATTGAGATTTCAAGATATTAAAAGGAGTGTCTACATATGTAAAGTAGGTTTGGGGCTATATTTAAAGTTTCACTCTAGTAGAGTAAAAATTAAATTTCATTGAAAATTTACTTATTATTATTAATGAAAAGGTCTTTGATATTAGCTTGATAAATAAGCAAGGCTTACATAGTTTTTCAAGATCCATTTAGGGGTCTGTGAAAAATATGTGAAGATTGGCAGCCTACCTTTTCTGTGAAATCCAGGTTTCTTAACTTGGCTTATGTAATTCATCATCTTACTCTTGCCTCCCACCCTTCCTTCCTTCCTTCCTTCCTTACTTTCTTCCTTCCATCCTTCTTTTCTTCCTTCCTTCCATCCTTCCTTCCATTTTACATGTTTAAGTAGCTGTACAAACGAGTTGGCATTTAACAAAGCAGTTTGTGAATACAAGATAGCTTGATCATTGTCACCCATTTCAACACCCATCTTCTACCCACCCCTTTCCTTGCTCTTCTGAATGTTGTAGGATATTAATTGAGGTCTTAACTGCATTCCCCCCTTCTCTTGATTTGTTTTCCCCTTTCCCCTTGACTCCATTCCACCCCACCCCTCTTAAGCACCCACTTCCTGGTCTCTATTTTGTTGAACTTTCACCTTGCCTCCCTAAGGAACTACACTATTTGAGTTTTACCTCGAATCTACCATATTTTAGTTAATATATTTGTATACACTTGCATACCATCTAGTGTATTTACTTATATGTTTATGAGCTAAATCTGTCTCTTTAAATCCTACTTTCAGTCTTACATGCTATGTTCCAGGAAGAAAGAACTGTGTGAAATTTCTTGTATATGTCATGCTTTCTTCTTCCTGCCAATAGATTGTATTATTCCCCCTTCTTGCCTCACTAACCTGGGCATTCTTTAAGATCTGGAAGTCCCAAGCTAAGAATGACCTATATTGTCTTTCCTATTGGCTCTAGTGCTCAATTTCCTGCTTCCTCAGCCTCCCTCCTCTGTTTAACTCCTTGTATAGGAATTAACTCCTCTACCTGGCATAGACTAGAAGTTCTTTCAGAGCAGGAACTTGTCTCCTCAAGATCAAGCTACATGCCTTTCCAGGCAATGAGTTCACGTATTGGAAGATAACCACGACTGAAGTAGTCTGGGAAAAATGGATTTCCATTGTTTGCAAGGTTTTTTGTGTATGAAGTTTTGTAGCAATTAAGTTGTAAAATTTTTTGTGTTATGCTACTTAATTTCTGGCTGTAATAGTTGCATTTGCCGGTCAGGTTTTTAGTAAGCTTTCACAAGAAGATGAATCTTAAAATGAGTTTGAACAAATTGGTGAAAGTATGGTATATGCAAGAAAGGACTCTAATGTAGTAACTTATCTGAAAAGCTAACAAAATGAATACCAGAAAGCTGAAATACATGTTGTCTGGATGGTAGGGGCTCAAGAAGAGGGTGCATGGGTGAGTACACAGTCATAATATTCAATGTACATATGTACATTGTATACATGTGCAGTGTACATATGTGAAAATGGAAGCAGGTAACTTGGTCCATTTGGAATTGATTCTGTTGCAGGGTGATATATAAGGATCTTCAGTTTTCTACATGTATTTAGCCAATTTTGCCAGCACCATTTGTTGAAGACGCTGTCTTTTTCCATATGATGTTTTTGGCTCCCTTATCAACAATTAGGCCATAGGTATGTGGTCATAGGTCTGTGGGTTCATTTCTGGGTCTTAAATTCTATTCCATTGGTCCTTGGGCCTGTTCATATGCCAGTACCAAGTTGTTTTTTTTTATAACTACAGCTTTATAATAGAGTTTGAAGTTTGGTATTGATATTCCCCCAACACTGTTCTTCCTGCTAAGGGTTGCTTTATTTTGGGGTCTTCTATTATTCCATATGAATTTTTAAATTGCTTCTTCTATTTCATGAAAGAATTGGGTTGGGATATTGATGGGTATTGCATTGGATTTGTAGATAGCTTTTGGCAGTAGTACCATTTTCATGATGTTAATCCTTCCAGTCCAGGAGCATGGGAGATTTTTCCACTTTCCACTTAAGTTTTCTACTTAGGTCTGCTTTAATTTCCTTTTTCAGGCTTTTGAAGTTTTCATCATGGAGGTCCTTCACATCTTTGGTTAAGTTATTCCTGGATATTTTATTTTATTGAGGCTATTACAAAAGGAGTTGCTTTTCTTATTTCAGCCTGGCTTCTCTTATTGGCATACAGAAAAGCTACTGAGCTACTGATTTGTGTGGGTCAATTTCTTTCTTTTTTTTTTTTTTGTCAGTTGTGGGGATTGAACTCTGGGCCTGGTTGCTGTCCCTCACCTCTTCAGCTCAAGGTGAGCGCTCTACCATTTGAGCCACAGCACCACTTCTGGTTTTCTGGTGGTTTATTGGAGATGAGTTTCACGGACTTTCCTGCCTGGGCTGGCTTTGAACTGCGATCCTTAGATCTCAGCCTCCTGAGTAGCTAGGATTACAGGCGTGAGCCATCAGCATCTGGCTGTGGGTTAATTTTATAACTGGAAGCAGGTAACTTGAGGGAATGGATGAGATTGGGACAATTCAGGGAGAATAATGGAAGGGGTATCATTGAGCGAGGTGCATTGTTTGATAACCCTATAGTGTTGAATTGAACCCCCTGTGTACAACCATTAAAGATAATTTAAAAAGTTTTAAAAATGAGTTTGAGAATCTCTGTCCTAATGGAGCATGAGCCTTGAGCATTAGGGATTAAGGACTTTAGATTTTTGCCTGTTAAAATGTTTCCACTTGACTCTGGATCAAGTAATAGCCTGTGTGGAGGTTGATTTTTCTTTTTAAATCTAGAAAATAAGTGACCAGAGAATTTCAGAAGATTCTTTTACCTTTCAATTCCTCAAGAGATAAAATTTAAATAGAGCCAACGAGTAACAATCCTTGGTTGTGAGTTATTTTCTAATCACTCACATTATGGAAATTATACTCATATGGTATATGTTGATAATAAATACTTCACTTTGTATCACTTGCAAACTATGTAGAAACATAGCTTAGATTTTATGTTTAATGTCAAAATAGAATTATACCATTAATCTAAAAAACATAAGGAAAACAATTCCAAATGTTATCATTGTAAACCTAGAAGTTCATATGACATATAGATTTGCATTATTTTCAGATTATAACATATTAGTTTATTTTACCAAATACATGATGTTTCTCATTAGTTCTATACATGCCTTGATATCATTCTGGAAATGAATTTACTTATGTCAAAACATTTCTTTGTGGCCAGCGACTCATTTACGAAGGTCTTGTTTTAATGAGGAGCAATAATAAAACAATTACAAATGTGGGTTCCTGTATTCCCAGTCATTCTTAGTATGTAGTAATTAAGGTGTATAAAGCTTGATCGAATGACATTTAGGTGTGACTTGGGTACAGGGTTTGCAATGGGTTGTCTAGCCAGAACAAAGGCAGCATTTCCTTTCTTGTCTCCCACTTTTCTCAGCCCCCACCCCCACCCCTCCCCAACCCCTTTCTCCACCTGCTTGAGAAAAGCTGTACTTCTTCAGGCAAACCTCATAATTGCCCTTCTGTGCCTGATTTGGGCCTCAGGAAAGGCCCATAGCATCTGTAAAGCTGGCAGCGAAATGGTATTTCCAGGCAGGCACAGGGTTGCTGGGTAGCGAGCCAATCCACTGCTTTGTCTGAGCAGCTGAGAACTTTGCCGGAGTCTTACAGCGGTGTTCAGTAACACAGACCTGTGCCATGAGCCAGTAAAGCACTGAGCAAGTGTGAGGGTCAGTATTTATAGACCACTACGTAGCTGAGCGAGCAGGGGAGAGACACAGCACACAGAGGGCAGGGAAGGAAGACAGCAGAGGAGGGAAGTTTAAGTTCCAATGTTTTGTGTGTTTTTCTTCTTTCTTTCTGAAAGACATTCCTTTTAACTGTCAGGTTTAAACTCCTGCTGAATCATAACCACTTGGCGCTGAGCTATGACAAGAGAGGAAACAAAAAGTTAAGGAGCCAGCCTGCGGAAAGTGAGAAGGTAAGTGATTAGCCAGTTCAGGCTGGCTCTTGCTTATAAACTCCATCTCCCTGTTGGCTGCTTTGCATCATTAAGCAAAGGGTTGTGGGGACAAGTGTGTGCTCACAAGCAGGAGCTGCCTGTTGACTAATGTTCTTGGTGGTAGAATAGCCTGGTGTACCACGTAGAAGGAGGCAGAGAGGCAAGGTACCCCCTGTGTTGGCAATGGAAACAGTGATCAACACTGATTTCATCCTCAGTTACAGTTTCTCTCTGTCTATCCTATCAAACGCAAGGTCTAGCTGTTGGTAATTGCTTCCGTGTTTTTAGATCAGTGTTTTTAGATCCATTTTTTGCTCAGATACATTAGTATCAGTTAAGTTTATAGTTGTGGCTACTCTGGGATCCAGAAGGAGTGCTCCCTCAAACTTGTAAACAGGTCAGAATGTCCATTGGATACTGTATTGAAGTGAAATGCTCACTACCTTTGGGAATAGACACGGGAAAGCTATGAGAAGTAAGGATAGTCTTCGTACAAGGTGTGAAGTACTTTGGTCCATGTAGGAGACATTCTCTGCTTGTCAAAGTGACTGTTGGTTCCCTATGAAATGCAACCTCTACTAAACACTAATCCAACATCACTGGCTATACAGTAAGTGTATTTTCATTTCCCCTTTTATCTCATGGAACACATTAAACATGTTTCTCTCTGTGTGCATAATGCTGACATATGTCCATTTACTTATTATTATATTCTCCGTACCTCTGATTATCATGGAAGAAAACTGCTGAAAAATAGGAAGAACACATTTTCTGTGTATTTTCTGATTTTCTCTGTTTTCATGAAACTATTGTATACTTTAATGTTTGTATTGACTACCCAAGGGTTGGAAAATAAACATATTGCTAGGGCACTAACTAGATTAAAAACACCAACTGAAGGAATGAAAATTTCTTGTTTGTTTATTTTACATTGTGGAATGTTAAACACTATTGTGGAATGTAAAAATTTTTAGGCTGGGTCACAGATGATGATTATTATAGCAAAGTGTGCCTATACTCCAATTTTAAGTTAAGAAAATGTTATTTTAAGATTGCCTTAGAGTTTAAACTATAGGCCAGTGGAGAGATAAGAACAGCTAATACTTTGGCACAAACTTAAGTTAGATGGACTGTGCAAAGTCAAGCTCATTCTAAAATAGAACCAACCAGATTTAAAAAAAAAAAAAAAACAGTAGAAGAGATAGGTCTAAATGTAAACAAATTCATTAAAATCAGGACAGTGCTTGTCCATATCATTCTTATTGAACATATCTAAGGTTTTTAAAAGGATGCAAAATGATTCAACATGAAATCTACCAAATTTAAGGCTGATCTGCTTGCTATCTAGGCTTACAACATATTGTAATATTTATTGAATGTTTGCTCTGTCTTCTAAATCAATCAAAAGTATCAAAGACCTTAGATTTTTCAAGCTCTGCCTTCCAGATTCTTAAGGAGTTGGATTTGGAATGTTGGCAATATGCTTATTTTGAAAATACAGCTATGATTGGCCAAGAATGGGCATAGCCCACTTAACTAGCCTGACTGGCTGAATTCATCATTCATTTTTTTCTTTGCTACTGTCTTTGGGTAATACATCATAGTCATGAATACCATTCTTTTTTTATTCAATAGTTTTTAGTATGTTTTATATGTTGTATAAATATATTGCTTTTGGATCCCTTCTTACTGGCTTTATTTTTGTTTTCTAATATCTTTGTTTTTGAAGTACAGTGTTGAAAAAACTGGAAAGAAAACAGGACAAATACATCACTAAAATGAAAAAAAATTGAAGGAAGTTTACCTTCAATTAGGAGAATAAAAGGACATTATGATATGAGTCGATCATGTCTGAAGGGGTTGTATTTTGGTTGAAGTTGGTTAAGTGGTTTCAAACTTAAAATACTTTCTCAGTATTATGGTTATCAGTCTTGATACTGGCTATTCATCATATTGGTAGGTAATGTTTATTCACAGGTATCTTATAAAAGAGATGTGGGGTATTTGTATTATGTGTTAAATATCGACTGAAGCAATATGAGTGACTCAGCTTGAGATATTAATATTATATTTCCCATGGAGCCCAATGCTCATCTTCCTTTGATAGGCTACCAGTCCATCTGTTATCCTACCCCTATAGGAGCAGTCTCACATCCTGACCAACACATCGCTTTTCTGCCATCCTTTTGGAATGCTGCCACTTCTTTCTTGCCCACCTAGGATTGTGGGCATGAGGTTGTAGGAGTTCCATGACTTCTTTTGTTTTGTGTTCTAATGCTACTCAATGTCTCAGAATGATCCAGAGTGTGTTGTTGCTCCCTGTCGTTTATGTGACACTGGCTCTCATCAAAGTCCCCTTCTTAGCATTTGCTGTCCAGTTACAATGAAGTCATCTGCTACTCTAGAAGCCCGGCTTGGTCCATTCACCATCTGTGGCCTGGCCTTCTTACTGACCTTCACAAATGTTTTCTACTTCTTCTTTTACATGGGAGTATAAGCAACTTGTGTCCAGATTTTAAAATTTATTCTTTTATACTATATTCCATCAAGACCTAGTATATAAAAGGTGTTCCAGAATTTGACTAAAACAAAAACTTTATTGTATTATATATAACAATATATTATAAGATATATTACAATATATGTAATAGATATTGTGCATATATGTACAATGTATTACAACTTTATTGTAATCTATCTATCTTTTATAGCCTTTTTACTTTAAGATATTGTGAAACTTTGATAAGTCAGGTTGAAGGAAAGCACTTCAACAAATAGCAAATGTTTAGAGGACAATTGCAATGGTTTAAAAGAAAATATTTTTTTCTTTTCCAAACACTTTCACAAGTATGTATGGTATGGTGTGTGTGTGTGTGTGTGTGTGTGTGTGTGTGTGTGTGTGTGTGTGTGTGTGTGTGTGTGTATGCACATGTGTGTTCATCATTGTGCATTTGTTAAGCAAAAGTACACAATTACATTGGTTAGCAAATGCAAATTGAAGATCGATAGGCCCAAAGGGTACTTCTTTTGATGAAATCTGCCAACATAATCAATTACTGTGTAATAAATGATACCTGGTGAGTGAATGGTATCACACTTCCCAAAAGGCCAGGAAAGCACTTGAGAAGAGAGTAGATCTGTGCTCCCGAATGCTAAAGAATTGCCTAGTGGTATCTTTTCCAGTTACCAGTAAAGGGCCTTTGCATTTATTTACTGTTTCAGAGATAGAGATTTAAGGAAATAACAGAAAATCATGGTTTGCAAACTTCCAAACCTGAAAGGTGTACTCCATTTCAGTCAGAAGAAGAATTTGCTTCTCAAAATAGAAATGTTGAAAGAAAAGGAAGTCATTGTTTAAAAAAGTTGTTGAGAAATAGCAGCTGTTTCTTGCAGCTCTGATATTCAATAAAAATAAAATTTATTTGTCTTTAATGATGTCTTAAATATCTATCATACATAAAAGTACTTTGCATCTGAAATAAATGTACACACCAAAAACAAACATAAAGCTTTATGCACAATTTAGAGTAATTTACAGTTTTTCTCCTTTTGATTATTTTTACTTCTTTGGTGTGCTCTACCAGCACTTTCCACTACTATTTAAACTCATAAACCTCTTCCAGACTTTGAATATGACTCTTTTGTTTGTTTAACCTTGAATTGTATCTGTCTCAGGAATGAAAACAAGATTGGTATTTTCATAGGAAAGTTTGGTAACTGTTTAATTGCTTAAAATGGCCCATAGTTCAATTTGGAATTTCTATTTGGATGTATTTTGCCGACATGACTATCCTATGGTAAAGTTGATATTGAGAAAGGTGTCTTACCAAAAATTGGTTAGTATAAATTTTATAGTTCTTACTGGCATATCAAATAATATAAACACTACAAGACTGGATGGACGGAGGTTTCTTTGATCATGGATGTTGAAACGTGCGTCGTTCCTGTCATTCAGTGAGGACAGAAACCCAAGCTTGCCCTCGTATTAAGAGATTAGAACAAAAACAAACATAGGCAAAACACCAGCACTGCACCAAGAGAAGGTCAAAGAACTTTGTGGTTGGAATGAAGCATGAAGGATTGTACCAAAACAGTAGTCTTACTTTATGATTGTTAGCAGCATATTTTGTGAACTCTTTTTCGTAAATATGCATGGCATAGAATTCACAGAACTTGAGAAGAGTAAAATTAGTTATGACACTAGAAACTTAAAGCTGTTCTTCAACTCTTTCTTGTTATAGAAGGAAAAAGTAAAGCAACAGGAAAACTATAAGTAAATATTATTTATTTGTGGCATTTATTATACCACAAAACATTAGCTTTTAAAGTATCTAGTTAGGAGTGAAGTTGGGTACAGTGGCTCCTGACTGTAATCCAAGGTATTTAGAAGGGAGAGATCCAAAGGATCATGTGTTTAAGCCAAGCTTCATGGGGGAAAAAAAATTAGCAAGACCCCATCTCCGCAAACACACTGGACCTGGTAATATGTATGTATCAGCCCATCTACTGAGGAGTCATAGGCAGAATGATTGCGGTACTGCTTGACCTGGGAAAATACATGAGACCCTATCTGAAAAATTTCTAAAGCAAAGAAGACCTGGGGTATGGTTCAAGAGGTAGAGCACCTGCCTGGCAAATACAAGACTCAAACCCCAGTGCCACGACGATAAGAAAAAATTTAAAATGAAGCACATAATTGTAAGGTCAATTTTTTTATTAATGATGATAATTTCTTCACATCCATTCTAAAACTTGTAATAATTTCTTTATACTCAGTTAAATTTTTGTATTCTGCATTCATGGTGTATTAGACACTTTTGCATGATTTAATTCCTAAAAGTTAAAGCTAGTAAGTATTGTCCTCCGGTAATCTGGAGTACTTTTCCACTCATAACTATACTTACTATGTTTTTCTAATGACATGCCCTTCTTGGCTCTTCTGCTTTCCCTTGTTTTGTTTGGTAGTACAATCCCATTTA